ACATTTTTGCATGGGCATCGGACAGACGCCTCCCCCAGCTAGACAATTCCATAAGGGAGGGGGCCTGCTGGTGTCTGCCCCCGTGGAGGCACCGCAGCTGACGCAGCCAGACAGACACCCGTGAGCTGGATGACCTGTGGTCAAGGGGCCTTAGAGATGCATTAAGTTCACCTGTGTTCTGCAGTCCCTGCTGGTGGCAGCAGAGACAGGGACACAGACAATGATCAGGCGGGTGGCGGAAGGCTGGCGAGGAGGGCAGCGCGGGGGTGGGAGACTGGCCAGGGGCTGCCCTCAGAGAAGGAGAAGGTGGTGCTGCTGCGGAGAGGACACCACCACGCGAGGATCAGGGTGGAACGTGGGCCCGGGAGTTGTCGGGCGTCCAGCACAGAAACGCTCTGCAAATCTGCAGAGCGAGGGCTGGGCCGGGCTGGGGTGGAGGAACAGGAGCCTTAGAGAGAGATGGCTTAGAGCCAGAGGCCAGCACCTGCCCGACCTGTGGGCGCGCCCAGGGCGTATGTGCTGAGAGCAGGGGAGGCTCGGGGGGAGGGAAGGGCAGGAATGAAGCTGCAAGACAAGACCGGCCAGGGAGGCCACGGACAGAGCCCGCCCCTCCTCAGGCCCGTCCCTCGCAGCCTGCCTGGCCGTGCGATTGGGGTGGCTCCGCAGCAGTTTCCCTGTCCTCGGTGGGGACGGGCCAGGTCTGTGTGCCTCCGCAGGGCTTGTGTCCCAGCTGTGGCCTTGCTCAGAAAGCCCGGCCGCGGCGCTGCTTCGGCCGCCAACACCTGGGCAGTCCTCTCCTGCCCATGGGAGCGATGGGTCTTGGTTTCCGGCCAGCCTGTGCCCCTGCGCCGCGTGACCCAGGCTGTCAGCTCCCCCCTCTGCCTCCGCCGTCCTCACACGGGGGCCCATGGGACGCTGTCTCTCCTGCATCTGTCCTGTGCGGGTGGGTCCTCCCGCTTTGACTTTCTGGTTTGCAGCCATACGACCGTTTCCATGAGAAATCCATGAAATACTGGCAGGCCCCTTCCCCCGCCCCCAAGAAAGTGGTAGTTTTTGGTCAGCTGTGTAAAAGAAGGTAACAGAAAAGCTGTGCTGGGAGGTACAGTTCGGGTGTTCACTGGGGTCACCAAGTGTAGACGAGGACAGACGGGAGGAGGAGACGGGGCCGTCTCCAGGGCAGTGGGGTGGGGGTGAGGCCGACAGCTCCATCCGGGCAGTTCTTGCAGGTTGGAGCTGGTGCGCGCGCTCCTGGCCAAGGTCTTCCCAATGCAGGCTGCGTGCACGGACGGCAGGGGTGCACCGGGGCCTCGTGGGGAGCTAAGCCTTGTCCTGGGCAGCGCCAGGCGACCTCAGTGCGAGGCTCTGTCCTCCTTGGGGACAGGGGTCTCGCAGTCCAGGCGGCCCCCATGGGCCGTGGGCTGTGAGAGGTCTCAAGCAAGAGAGCCTGGGCACAGGGTGCGTCTGGCGTCTCAGGGCCTGCGGGTGTGTCTGCTCCTCCCGGACCTCTCCTCCCGGCGGCTGAAGCTGGGCTCGGGCTGATTCAGGGAAGTCTGCAGCGAGGATCCTTTCTCCTCATTTGTCCTGTTGTGCTTTTGCTTGGTCACATGGGGAATTCGCTGCAGTTTATTTTGCTTTATCTTCTTTTTCTTTTTCCTGCAGAATGTAGCTTCTGTTTCTCTCCCCACTACGCAGTGAGACTTACAGATGTGTCTAGGCACGTTACCTGGTAAGGAGGTGGCGGTGCCTCCTTCCCCTGCAGAGAACCTGGCAGACTTCACATAGGACGATGACAGGAGTTTCTTGTCACTGAGTTCGGTGCCGAGTCATCGCCCTTCTGAGCCGAGTCTGCCTCTTCCGAGCTGGGCTGGGGGAGTGCCTGACGCTCGCTGCTGCATTTCCCTGTGAAGGCACAGGGAGCGCCGTGGTGGTGGTGACGGCAGCGGGCCGGCTGGCGGGGAAAGGAGGAGCAGGGTGCCGCGGGCTCCCTCTGTCCTCTGCTTGTCCCTGCCCCGAAGCCATCGCCGCCATTGGCTCCCAGTGACATGTGCGGAGCACGCTTTCTTGCCTGTTCGGCCTGGACAGGGCAGTCGCAGTGCTGGGGGCTTGTGCGTGTTTGGTTCTATGGCCCGTCCTGGGAGCAGGGTGTCACTGCAGGAGGGGAGCTGTCTCCTCAGCACAAGGCAGTTTTGTACCTTGAAGAATCTTAACCACACACACAGGGAGAAAAGGTTCTGTGCGTCGTTTACCTGTCAACTAGATCACAGTTTTGCCACGTTTGGTTTATCTATTTTTGCTTTTTCCTGAAACCCTTCAGACACGCCTGAGACATGTTGTTTCATTCCTACAGGCTTCAGTATGTGTCTCTACAAATACAGGTGTTAGGGTTTGGTCTGGGGGGCACCACTGGGCCCAACCCGGGGACAGCGCTCCTTGCGCCGTCTGCCGCCCAGGCCGCACCGTGTGTCCTTACTTGTCTCGTAGAAGCGGCTGCCCTGCCTGAATGTGATTCCAAAGCAGGGCCTCACGTGGCCTTTGCTCGTGATGTCTCAATCTCGTTTGTCTACAGCCCCCCACCCGCCACCGCCCACGCCCCGCCAAATGCCACTTACCTTTTACAAAAACAGGCCCTCGTCTGGGCTGGCCCGCATTTTGCCGTGGTTCTGCCTGCATCCTGGCAGTCCCTCTGCCTCTGGGCTCCTTCAAGGGGAAGTGAGCTCTGGAAGCAGCGGAGACTCTGCTCAGCCTTCTCTCGGGTGTCTCAAGGTGACACCGTATGTTTCCTATCGCACCGATCGGCCTCTGGTTGTGCCAGTGTGCCAGAGCCCTGCCAGAGGGCACTGGTGCCCAGTCATAAAGAAGCTCCCCCTGACACAACCAGAGGCCCCGCTCATTTACGTGGTGCTGCTCGCCTGGAAGCCAGCTGTCCACAAGGGTCCCCTCCACGTGGGGAGGGGGCCGCTGCCGTCTGTCGTCACTGCGTCCTGGCCTTGTCAGGGGGCAGACCTAGAACAAGGACACGGATTCAGACTGATACTTCCAAATTCAGTCTCATGGCACTGTCTTGTTTTCTCAAACTGAATCTTGGTTCCTAACATAATTTAGCATAATTGCTTATTGGCACTATCCTACTTTATAAAAACACCACTGTTACTACAACTAACAGTTAAACTATCAAAAGAAATTTGATTTCTTTGAAGGTTTGTTTATCAGCAGATACAGTTTGTTTTAAAATTTTAGGGATTGTTTCTGTTTAATTTTTGAATATTTTTTGAATATTTAAACATTTATATTTCCAAAGTCAAAACTGCCTAGCGCGGTACATTCAGAGAAGCTTTACTCCATCCTTTTTTTCTTCTTTCCCCATGAAGAGCAACTTAAGTTAGGTTTGTATTATTCTTCCAGATGCTATTTTTTATACATCATGTAAACAAATACATAAATATATAAATACATTCACGTTTCCTTCTGTTTTTGCACAAAAGATAGCACACTTGATAGATTATTCTGGGTCTTGCTTTTTTCACTAAGCAGCACGCAGGACCTGGGTTCGCCCCACCTCAGTGCATGATGCCCCCACTCCCGTTGTTGGGTGGCTGGGCGTGTTCCGCAGTAGGAAGTGACACGGTCAGGTCGGCCAGTCCCCCACGGGGCCGGGGGGCGGGGTGCCTGGGCTGCCTGAGACTTTGCCGCGAGACCTGCTGCCTCCGGGAGTGAGCTGGGGCATCCCCCACCCCCTCTGTGCCAGTGTGTCTTGGGGTTCCTCTCTAGAAGTGCGATGACTAGGTCGGGGCGGGGGGGGAACGACACACGTATGTTTGTTCTAGATGTTGTGACTGCATGTTTGCCGACATTGTGGTTATGTAGTTGACTTTTATTATCCTAAGATTCCCACCTAGAAATAATTTGATTTATTTTGCCATTTTAATGCTGAAGAAATCTCAGTCACCAATGTACCCCATCTTTGTATGGAACATATTATTCAAAGTGTTGTTTTAAGATCTATTAATTTTTGTTAATTAATTGAAGTATCACTTAATATAGAATACAGGAGGTGAAAAGGTTGTGAAGACATGTTCCTAGATCTCAGAAGATTTCAGGTTGAATATTATGGGATTTATTTTCTTCTATTTGCTTCTCATTCCGTTTGTCGGGTATTTTTTCCCATGTTGGTTGTCAAAAGACTGGAGATAAGGCTCTAGGACATGCGTTTGTACTTGCCACACCAGACGGCAGCAGATCCTGTCTGGGGGCGGGGGAGAGCGAGTCAGAAAGGGCTGCAGAGGTGCATTCGGCAGGTGGTAATTGAACACCTCCCTTCACCGAATATGACAGAGAGCAACACACAGAGTTCCTCCCTCGTGGCATTTATATCCCAGCACAGGAGACAGATCAAAACCCAAGGACACTAAGATAATTACAAGTTCTGTGTGCTTTGAAGGAATCTAATAAGAGATAAAATAGAGTCTTGGCCAGGAGCCTTCTCTAGGTGGGGGGTGGGCAGCTGACACCCCAGCCATGCACAGGTGGGGAGGAGCCTGTGCAGAGGCCCCACGGCGGGTGCCAGCGTGGGGTGCTGGAGAACTGAACCAGAAAACCCAGCAAGGTTGGGTGGAGAGCAAGGTCGTGGGAGCACTTTGAGGTTTAGGTGAAAGGTTCCATTTTATTCTAAGTACCTCGGGAGACCACTGAAGGACAGCAAGCAAGGGCGTGCCACTCGATCCCGATGGGCCATGTGCTGGTGCCTCCTACAGATGGGAAGGCTTTAGCTCCAGCAGCAGCAGCAGCAGCCCTGTTCCTCCTGAAGTTCAAAGCGGAGGCAGCTCCCCCTCGGTCCTTTACATAGGACAGCGTGCTCCTCGTGCTTACCGGGGCCTCCTGAGGATCTTTTCCTTTTCAGTAGCGCCCCCTTGACATTGCGCAGGCCATTACAGTAAGCGGTGGTGTTGGATTTACCCTGGGCTGTGAACAGGGGCATGATCTCTACACGTTCTCTCCTTCAGACCTGCAAACCCAAGGACACCGCTCTCTGGAAGACAAGAGCTGCTTTCTCAAGACCAGAAAAGGTGCGTGTGTCTGCTCTAACAGGTTTACAGAATCAATCATCATTTTCTGGACAAAAGGGCTCTTTCAGCGTGTTTGTGTCTGTTCCTGTTCCAGGAAACAGGGGTGCTGCCTCTGCAGGGCACCCTCAGAAGGGAGGAGCCTCACACCTGGGCCACTGAGCGTGTTTCCAGGGCCAGCTCCTGTCTGACGTGTAGGAGGCAGAATGTCACCCTGACTCTTCAAGGGCAGCCTTCAGGGGATCAAGACCCACACGCAAGCATCTCACCGTCTGCTGCAAGGGACACAGTGTGGTCCTTTCTCTGCAAGCGAGGAGAACGAGGCCGCTCCACAGAGGAAGGTTCCGGGGGCTTAAAAACGTGAAGGCTCGCTCCTCAGGAGCCCCTGGGGATGCTGACATCTCAGGGCCTAAAAGAAAGCTCTGTGTTAAGGAGCTCCAGGGTTCATGTGGGAGTGAATGTCACTTTATAATCAATAGCAGTACTGAGTGAGGAGCACTATGCAGGAAGGCACCTTCCATAGAAAGACAGGCAGGGAAAAGCTTAGGCCAGCCACGAACCTCCCGGAGGGAGCAAGCCTGAGATAGGTTGCCAGCATGGCCACCTGAGAGACTGGAGGCCTCAGCCACCCCATACCTGTAGTAGTCGTAAGGAATTTCTCCTCTAAGTCACGATACCAAATAGGAAAAATGATCTACAAGTGCCCCATGTGTAGGGAATTTTTCTCTGAGAGAGCTGACCTTTTTATGCATCAGAAAGTTCACACAGCTGAGAAGCCCCATAAGTGTGACAAGTGTGACAAGGGTTTCTTTCATATATCAGAACTTCACATCCATTGGCGAGACCACACGGGAGAGAAGGTCTACAAATGTGATGATTGCGGTAAGGATTTTAGTACCACAACAAAACTTAACAGACATAAGAAAATCCACACAGTAGAAAAGCCCTATAAGTGTTATGAGTGTGGCAAAGCCTTCAATTGGAGCTCACATCTTCAAATTCACATGAGAGTTCATACAGGTGAGAAACCCTATGTCTGTAGCGAGTGTGGGAGGGGCTTTAGTAATAGTTCAAACCTTTGCATGCATCAGAGAGTCCACACCGGAGAGAAGCCCTTCAAATGTGAAGAGTGTGGGAAGGCCTTCAGGCACACTTCCAGCCTCTGCATGCATCAGAGAGTCCACACCGGAGAGAAACCCTATAAATGTTATGAGTGTGGGAAGGCCTTCAGCCAGAGCTCCAGCCTCTGCATCCACCAGAGAGTGCACACTGGGGAGAAGCCCTATAGATGTTGTGGGTGCGGGAAGGCCTTCAGCCAGAGCTCCAGCCTCTGCATCCACCAGAGAGTGCACACTGGGGAGAAGCCTTTTAAATGCGATGAGTGTGGGAAGGCCTTCAGTCAGAGCACCAGCCTCTGCATCCACCAGAGAGTGCACACAAAGGAGAGAAACCATCTCAAAATATCAGTTATATAAAGCGTTTTGCTAAGAGTTAAAAATCTTAAAACCCATAAGTGCCACTAGGAAGGAAACCCTGTAAATACCTGCATTGACCCGAGAAATTTTTACAGCAGGCCCTAGCAGAACATTCTTTTCAATGAGGTGTATGTGAGGCTGACTTAGATTCATGCCAAGTGTGTCCCACCACCGGGCTTGAATCTGGGGTCCCTCTGGGTGTCTGCCTGAGATGGGCTGTGAGGTCCCAGCACAGCACCCGCAGCAGCATGGGCGTGCGTCTCCCAGGGTTCCAGCGTGATGCCTCTGCCCTTGACTACTACACAGGGAACCGTGGTCATGGCGCAGCCTGCTGTGTCACCCTCACCCGGCAGGCCCCCCGGGACTCCCCGTCGGGGGCTCACGACCCCCTTCTCTTGATTCAGGCATACCCATCACTGCATTTGAGATGGAGAGCTCCCACCGAGACAGCGTTCTGGCACTTCTGAGGCTCCACTTGACTCAGCCGCTGTGTAGGTCCCATTATTTCTACACGCACTTGCCTGTATGTCCTCAAAATACCCATAAATGTCCGCCCCTTCCTAGATGGCATCAAGTTTCATTTTAGATTTTAGGTTACTCATAATTTCCATTCATGTGGCCTATTTGAGGAATTGGTGGCAGACATACATGCCCTTGAACTTTTTTTTTTTTTTTAATTTTGTGGATTCTGCTAATCACTGCATCTCTGTTAGACTTACTTTTCTAGTGGCTACATCACATTTTTTAACTTGAATTTTTTTTTGAAGTAGCTGAATGTAAATAGGGAGGAAGAAGCAAGCAAGGTCAGAGCTTTTCTCCATCCAGAAGCGCCCACCCTGGCCCCTTGTGTAGCGCAGAGCCCCTGCCAGCCAGGAGGAGTGGGTGGCAGGAGGAGGCACTGCCACGGTTTAGTCCCGTTTCTGCCATTTTGGGCAGTGACGAGTAGGAGTGCTCGGTAACCCCGTCACTGAGGATTATGTGCCGGTTCCTTTGTCAGCATGCTGGTTATCCTTTTCTTCATTCATTCCCTCAACAAGTATTTATTGGACACCTCCTATGTGCCAGGCACCGTGCTGGGTGCTGGGAACACCACTGAGTAAGACAGTCGAGGGCCCCTGCTCATGGAGTTTACTTCTGGTGGAGGAGACAGGCGATACGCAAGTAAACAAATAAATAATGTAGTTTGAGATAGTGATTAAGTGCTATGAAGAAGATAAACTAGGGCGATGATTTAGAGGGGAGGGGTGGGGCGGGGGTGGGGGCATCCTTAAGTAGTGGCCAGGCAAGGCCTTTCGAGGGGCGGCATTGTGCGGCGAGCCCGGGCGAGCCCCGCCCGCACTGTGGGGGCGGGTGGGCCGCCGGGCGTTCGTGGGACGGGGCGGCGGCGGGTTCTGGAGGGTAGCGAGCGGCGAGCCGGCAGCCACCAAGCTGCTCAGGGTCTGATGGTTATAGGCCTTTTTTTTTTTTTTTTTTTTTTTTTTTTTGTGGGCTAGATATTAAAAACTCATGTGGAGGAACTCAAGGAATGTTTAGAAGACCAAAAGTCCCCAATGACGAACAAAAAGCAACTAATTTTTAACCTTGTTTCTCTTCTCATTCCTGTTTTCATTGATTTCCCACATGTAGTCCTTTTGCTCAGGAAGTCTTGGGGACATTACGGATCTTTGAGGCTCTGAAACGGGTGACCATGTCCGTGGTGTCTTTTCAGCTGTCACAGAGGTTGGAAAACGAACCACCCAGAATAGTCATGGAAATACTGAAACGAAGCTTGAGTTTCTCACATTTGAACTCTCTCCTGTTTGCCTGGAAGGGCTTTTGTGTAATGAAAACCTCAGCTCGTAAAGGAGATTGAAAAGGAGCACATGATTTCGTAGGTGGGCTGTGAAATGAGATGGGCCCCGGGGTCCATGGGTCTCTGTGGCTCCAGACACGGGAGCACGCCCTGGGGGAGGCCCTTCCCGCTCACGCCCTGCCCTCGCCCGAGGGAGGGCCGCCCGGCCCTGGCCCTGGCCAGGGCCCCTTCCAGGCCTGGGCCCCACCCCCCTCACCGCAGTGTCCCATCGCTCACGCCACGGTAGCGGGAAGCGTTAGGAACCCTAGACCTTAGTTGGTAGTGAGCCAGTCGAAATATCATTGGTAGAATTTTAGTTTTAGGAGAAATTGGTTTGATTTCTAGCTTTACTACTATTAGGTATGTGAGCTTCGGCAAATCACTTAACCTTTGAGTCTAGTTTTCTCACAAAACGAGGATATTAGGCTAAACGATTTCCAAGTTTCCAGCTAGTCCTAGAGGTCTATATTTCTACATAGTTGAATTATTTTATCATGCTGTTGCTGGGGAATATGACTAACACTTTGGAAGCTACTAATTTTATGTCGAGCTTTAAAGTCCATAATTGTTATCTTCAGAAAATATTATTTGACCTACAGTATGTCCAAATCAATTTAATAAAATCACTTTATAACAGGGTTCTGTGCTTGGCATGCGATTGTGTGTGGGGTTGGGTTAGGGTTGGCCTGTGCCTGCATCGAGGGTGACCATACAACTTGCTGTCCGAGCTGGACACCTAAGAGTAAAGGGCTCTTAACACCCGAGTGAGGACAGCAGGCCGAAAGGGGGGCTGTCCCAGCCCACTGGGGGCCACACACGGTCAGGCCATCTGCGGGGCCGTCCTCAAGGGCTGCTTTGCTGGTGTGTGAGCTTGGACGTGAGGCCTTCCAAGGGATTTTCCAAACTCTTGGTTCTAAAAAATTTAAAACTGTTAAGCATTTTTTCTTAATAATTCGCTGCTGTTCCCAGGAATCTGAAAAACTAGGTGAATGGAAAGCAAATTCCAGGAATACTCAGTGGTCAAATCAAACCACCAGGGAAGAGATGAGAATGGAGTGATAGTCCCTGGCAGGCGCTGGGCAGCTGGGAATGTGGGTAGAGTCCCAAGGGACAGGCAAAGGAAGGCGATGCAGCTCCGCGGGACCCTGTGCAGTGTTGGGACATGTCTGAACCTCCACTCCCTTGTCTGAGAAACGGTTTTGGAAATACCTAATTCAGGAGGTAGTTGGGAGAACGCGATAGAAGAGGCAGGTACAAAGTACCTACGTTTAGTCGTACAACAGAAAAAACTGCTAACCCCAGCTGCCTATTCAGGAAGACAAGTCGTGTTCTTTGGAGCTCTTTCTGTGCTGCCGAGAGCCGTGCCGGGTGTGGGCATCTAAATTTAGTGGTCGGATTGGCGAGGGCTGAATTGCTCCCCAGCATCCGGGAAGGCCTTGAACCCCCTGCGGGAGAGGCTGGGACAGGAAAACAGTAGAGTGGGGAGGAGAGGGTGACGTGAACGCGTAAGCTTTCCCATCCAAACGCGGAGGACCACAGGCCTTTCCCTGATGTCTTAGGGTACCTGGCCCGAACTGGCGGACGGATAGACGGAGTGCCCGGTCCCGGCTGCAATGAGCCAGAAGTGCCATGAGCCATGGACGCAGGTGTCGCGAGAGGGGCCACAAGACCATGCGCTCCAAGGAGTGCGCGGAAGTCTCTGGGAGGAGGCCCCCAGGGCCTTCGGGACCACCCCCGGTGTACGTAGGGTAGAATAATTGCAAGATCACAAGGAAATTAAAATTTTTTTTTTATCATTTCCGTATTTTAAAATGTTTTAAGAGGCCTAAAAGCAAACTCAAAGACCCTAGGCCTTGTGCGTGGGATGCGTCAGCAAGAACGTGGCACAGCCCTGTACAGACAGCCACCTGTCAAACGAAAGCACTTTTATTGCTCGGATTTAGTCGTATGCTAATAAGATACATTTTTAGAGTCGAGTAATAGCGTGCACAGATTGCTCCTATTGAGTTTCGGGAGAGTTTATACATTTTACAGGCTCGCCGTTGAGTGTGCCCCCTGCCCCTTCCGCTTCTTACGCACCGCTGCTGGGGACGCGTCCCCTCAGAGACATCCCCTCCTCGCACCGCGCCCCCTCCCCGCCCCCCGCCGCCCCCAGCCCGAGTCCCAGCCCCTGCCCAGGCCTTCCCTGCCCGCGAATTGTGGTGGGAGTGCTGTGTTTGGAGAGTTTTTATATGCAGGACCCATAGGTGGGTTTCAGAGAGGTCTGGAACCTTCCTAAATTGTGTGGAGGATTTTGTGTGCCTGTGGGTACATGCACGTCTCTGGGAAGGAGGGCTTTTGTTAAATTTGTGACTCCAACAGACAATGCTGCCTGAGAGAAGGGGCTTCCGTTCAGTCACGCGGTTCTTCACGGCACCGGGACGCGGTGAACGGGAGGGGCCCACGCGCCCCAGGGGCCAAGGCGGCGGCGCAAGACAGAGACGCGCCTGCGCGCGCGCGCGGGTGCGAGGGGCTCCAGGCCTGCACCGCGCTGAGTGCGGCGCCGCAGGCTCGGGGGAGACGTGCGTGAGTGGGGCCCGCGTGTCTGTGGGCGAGGACGGCGGCCTCGTCGGAGGGCCTGCTCGGAGGCGGGGAGGACAGGGAATGGAAAGCACTGGCGCGTGACTGAGCTCCTGGCCGCGGAGGAGGCGACTCTGGCCAGAAAGTTGGCCGCGCGCGCGCGGGCTGCGTCCAGAGCTGCCGACAAACCTCGCGGCGCTTGACGCCATACTGCCCGGGCCTCGCGTCTGTGGCCGCGCCGCTCGCCTGGAGGACAGAGTGGAGGCCCTGTCTCTGCGCAGACGCCCGGAGCTTTGTGGCCATGCCGGTAAAGCCGGTAGCGGGGCTGCGGCTCGGGGCGCGAGTCCCGGACCCTGCGGGCGTCGGTGTGGAGCGCGCCTGCGGGCGCTGCGTTCTGAACGGTGTCATTTGCCGTTGCGTTCACGTCTTGTGGCATGGTTTAGAAGAGCTGGCTTAACCTTTTTCAGTTTTGCATTTTCTCTTTTCCGTGAGTCATCACTGCACAGCCCCCGCCTTTTAAGGACTGGGGTGTGTGTACACACACACACACACACACACACACACACACACACACGGAACAAAGGCGAAGTCCCTCCCTGGCAAGAGTTGGAGAAGGGGCCCCGCCCCCTTCCCAGAAAAGCCCAAATCACATTTCATAATAGATTTTAAAAACCCTCCATTAGAATAGAAATAGAAGGTTCTCTCTCTTTCCCACCCGAGTTCATCGACTGAGATTTGTACCTTCTATTCTGGCTTATGTGGTAGTGAGTTACGGAGAAATTTGGTGGCTCTATTTATTTATTTTTGCAACGTTGCACAAATCAATTCAAAAATAAAAGTGAACAGGAAGCGGTGACCCCAGAAGCCCCCGTGGCCTGCTCTGCAGCCCTGGGCTGCTGCCCGCGAGGGCCACGCTCCCGCCCTCAGCTGCAGCGGATGCGGTGCGTTCTGACTCTTACTGGCGTCCCCGCTGCCTTGCGTTTTATTCTCTAGGGCCCGCGGACTCGTGCTGCGTGTGCCTGTGTGTGTCTCCCACAGCTCTGTCCCTTTCAAAGTTGTAAATCAAGTTAATAAAGCATAAGAATAAAATATGTTCTACCCTCGGGGAAGGTCGCTTTCCCTGAGCGCTGGGACTCATGGGCGTCCCATGCTGGCCACAGTGGTCCAGGACCAGCCCATAGTCCAGATACTGGCCGTCCCCACTGCCACGCCCCCTCTGTGGGGCCTTGGGCTGGGAGGTCTGGGCCGCAGCCGGCTGGGAGGAGGGGACCCCACAAAGGAGCCTCCAGGGTGAGGCTGCTCAGAGCCTGGTGCGGAGGCAGGGCTCCAGGCGGGCTCATCCCTGTGGTCCCTGAGCGTGGGGACCCTCCTGTCCAGGACCAGGGGCAGCGCGACCTTCAGAGGTTTCGTTAGCAAAGGCATCAGGCAAGGCCAGCGCAGCGGAAGTGTCCGCCCCGCATGAGTCTGCAGACACTCGGGTCTGCGGTCGCCTGTCCGGGGCCCGAGCGGGCCATACGCCTGGCCCTTTTCTAGCCTTCTCGGTGTCCTGGCTTCACGTTGGCTGCGGTGTTCGGCCTCCTCCAGGTTGAAGGGCAGGAAGATGTGTGAATGGCTCTCCAGGGGAACTGCTTCAGCCTCAGCGAAAGTGCTCACCAAGGTCCTAGAGAGACCCTTGGGCCGCGAGATGCCCGCGAGACCCAGATCTTGGTCAGCCTCACGGCGCAGTGCAGGATGCTGCCGGAGGCCCGAGGGACCCGGCCGGGGACGGAATGTACACAGAGAGGCCCCCCAGCCTCCGCTGGGCCGTCCGGTCATCGCCTCCGATGTTAACATTCAATTTTAG